GGTTAGGGTTAGGGTCAGGGTTAGGGTTAGGGTTAGGGCTAGGGCTACCTTTTCCCCCCTGAGGAGCTGCTGGAGGAGGTGGTGTGGCTAGGGTTAGGGTTAGGGTCAGGGTTAGGGTTAGGGTTAGGGCTAGGGCTACCTTTTCCCCCCGGAGGAGCTGCTGGAGGAGGTGGTGTGGCTCCGGCTCTCCGCTGCTATCTCTCTCCTCACCAGCGTGAGCCGCTCAGTGGACATGCTCTTTCTGAGGGGGGGGGGGGGGGCAAAGAAGAGGGAGGGGTCAAAGGTCAAAGCAGACAGACTGACCAAGCTGCGCATGCACAAAAAGTCAATTTTAGCCACCCAAAACCAAACAGAAACAAGGCTTTAGAAACTTCTCTTTGCCGTATCTCGATCTTTTTAACTACATTTAATTCCTTATTTTCTCGCTTTTGCGCCACATAAAGATCTGGTAAATATTCTGAGCCACCTCTTTTTGAGGATGTTTTTTTAAATATGTGTCACATAGTCTCAAAATGGGAACCCTACAGAAGTGTATCCAAAAGGAGTTTTTTTTCTAGGTGTTTGAAATGGCTTATGTTTTTTCTGGATGGACACCTTCTGGTTTTATACTCTTTTTAACTATTTAGATTACCGTAGAAAACAATTACAGTTGCTTTTCTTCCTCAACTTCATTTGAGAAAGAGAGAAATAGAAATGTCTAATCAATAACAGTACTTCATGCTTTAAGCATGCAGAAATGTGAGCATTTCTCTGTGGTTGCACGCTAATTTGATCAAAATAATTTCTGTTTTTTTTTTTCTTCATATGTTGTTGAGGGGCCAAAGAAAGACTTCAGACTAAAAAAAATCCAATATTCTTCCTATTATTCTTGGATCAGGCTTTAAAGGGTTAAAGCTGCTTTTTGGCCTTTAAAGCTATTTTGGGGCGGCTTTTAAAGCTGTTTTTTGTGCTTTTAAAACTGTTTTGGGGGGGCTTTTAAAGCTGTTTTTTGGCCTTTAAAAAAGTTTTTTGGGGGGCTTTTAAAGCTGTTTTGGTGGTCTTAACCCTATAATGCCAAATGTATCATATTTGATCCGGTTTCTTTTGGATCTGAGACTTTTTGCATCATTCAGTGGTAAAAGCTTTGCTCAAACCCCTGTTGTACACATTCAGATATACCTAATAACAGCCAATAGAAGACTACACCAAAATACATTTTTGACTTATTGCATGCTAATTTGATCAAAATAATTACAGTTTCTTTTTCTTCATATGTTGTTGAGGGGCCAAAGAAAGAGTTCAGACTAAAAAAATCCAACATTCTTCCTATTTTTCTTGGATCAGGCTTTAAAGGGTTGAAGTGGTACCTCTTCACGGCCTGCAGCATCTCTCTCTTTGGAGAGGACGGGGAGGAGAGGAGGCGTTTCTGCTGCACGTATCCGTTGCTCAGAGGTTTGGAGGGCAGAGCCTGGAGGAGCTGACGCACTGGGGGGGGGTCAGAGAAGAGAGAAATCCATTATCAGGGCTCCAGATGAGCCACCGGGATGCTGGTCCGTTGGTTACTGTTAGGATTTGGTTATAAATACTCACTTTAGCATTGTTTGCTATCACATGATCTACAGGACTGTCTCAGAAAATTAGAATATTGTGATAAAGTTCTTTATTTTCTGTAATGAAATTAAAAAACATGAAATGTCAGACATTCTGGATTCATTACAAATCAACTGAAATATCGCAAGCCTTTTATTGTTTTAATATCGCTGATTATGGCGTACAGCTGAAGAAAACTCAAAAATCCTATCTTAAAATATTAGAAAATTTCCTCAGACCAAGTGATGCATCAATTGATGCAGTAATCTGTGCAAAATGATTCCCAACCAAGTACTGAGTGCATTAATGGACATTTTCAAATGTTTGATTTTGTTTTGCTGTTATAAATTTTTTTTTTTTTACTTGGTCTGAGGAAATATTCTAATATTTTGAGATAAGATATTTGGGTTTCTTAAGCTGTAAGCCATAATCGGCGATATTAAAACAATAAAAGGCTTGCGATATTTCAGTTGATTTGTAATGTATCCAGAATGTATGACATTTCATGTTTTTTAATTGCAGTACAGAAAATAAAAAACTTTATCACGATATTCTAATTTTCTGAGACAGTCCTGTATGCATATTACTGATTGTTTTATTTTCTATTATAACTATATTTTGTGTTGAAGTCTCTGGCTGTAAGCACAGATTCTCTTTGTTCTCTCTTTTTCTTTCTATCCTCTTTTCCTGTTGCATTAGATCCACCTTTAGGTCAACACACACACACACACACACATTTTGGTACCACATTCCAATGTTATCAACATGAATTAGGACCTGGCCTGTTCGTGCCCAGAGGTAACTGGCCAATAGGACTTGGTTGTGTCCAGTCCTCCTTTGAGGAGGCGGATGGAGCCCAGGAGATAATGCCCATCACCCAGATCTCAGGGCTCTTTGCCCACTGAGACCCAGAGAGAGCTTTTAGTCTGTTAGAGCAGTGGTTCTCAAACTTTTTTCAGTGATGTACCCCCTTAAAAATATATTTTTAGTCAAGTACCCCCTGACACAGGCAAAACATTTTTGGAAGAAAAAAGAGGTACAGTGCTGTAAAATCACTGTCCTTTTTATTAAAGCCAAACGTAACCATGGTAACGACAGGTCGTTGACAAGTGCGCTGGGTCCGTGGGTCAAACTAACTTGGGTGGGGGGTCCGTTTTATTTTAAAGGATATTGAAACTAAATACTGAATATAAAATGCAGTGCATGAACACACATTTATATTCCATCGAACTTTTTACTGAATAATTTCTCCCAAGACTTATTATGAGGAGCCTACTGATTTTTTAAATATATTTTGAAAAGCTTCACGTACCCCCTGCAGTACCTCCGCGTACCCCCAGGGGTACGCGTACCCCCATTTGAGAATCACTGTGTTAGAGCACAGCTGATACATCAGACGTTGCTTTGCATGTTTTTTAAATTTGATAAGAGGCTTCCCTGGTGGAGGCAGGTGGAGCCGCTCTGGTGCTGATGGAGGTTTGTTCTTGTTAAAGGGGAGTTTTTTCTTCCCACTGTCGCCTCCTGCATGCACAGCACTTGGGAGGAGATTTTATTTTCCTTTAGGGTTTCTGTTGCAACCTTTGCTACGAAACTTCTCGTTTTAAAACTTGATTAATTGCTTTATGTGTGGATTTGGCCTGAATTGGACTGTATCTCTGAAGTCCTGTTAGACTTAACTGTGTCCCAATAAATGTCATTTTTTTTACTCTTGATCCACTCTGGTTTATTCTCAGGTTTCCAACTAAAGAATCGGGGTTAACAGTTACTGTACCTTTGGTGGGCGGCGTGGAGCCCGCCGTGGCCCCGGGCCTCCTCCCGGGGCGGCCCCCCCCC